AAAATATGCCCCAAAGTCTGAAAAGGCATTTCGGTTACTTAAACGGCAGGATCTGGGCACGAGGTTACATCGCCATTTACCACCAGAGTGCATAACGCGTTCACTGTAAAAGAAATTTTTTAGCTGATTTATTTTAACATAAACAGAATAAGCTACTTACCCCAATAGCGTGCGCAGTAACCATAACGGTAACGGCGGCGGTAAGAGGGGCGGTAATGACGGCGGCTCCTCCTTCCCCACCACCCGACGCTCCTCTTTTCTCTGAGATTATGGCCTGGAAAATAAAAAGAATTTATAGACGAACACATAGATACAGTCAGTGATAACGGTTCGTTTTCAACTCAATTTGAATTTGTGTGAGAGAGAAATAATTATCAAGCACCTTGCAATTCCATGTCTATCTCACTGACTTCGTTTTCATTTTCTCCTTGAACAAGTAATATCAGGAATATGACACAGAATGCTGCCTGTAAACAAGAAGAATAAAGGCCATAAACTTCTAATTATGGACACAAGTGCGGATAACCTGTCAGCTACCAGCTATCACATCTATGAGTAAGGCCGTAAAGTGGGGTATTCTAGTAAATGAATTCAGATGTGTGTTTCTTGGACATCATTAACATTAGCGCGAAATGAAAGACGACTTTTACCATAGCCAAGTTCAATATCTATTCACACACTAGAAAGCGGATCTTGAATAAGAACGTAAAACCACTTTTGTCATTCAGTCACTTTCTTTATCTTCTTTATTGCTTAATTAATCAGAGTTAATTGAAGTTGATCAAAGTATTTTGTTGAAGTTTGCTGCCATTCCCAGCTTTCTGAAGGCAAGAACTTGTAAATAAAAAAAACGTGATATTTGAGCGCAATACTGGCGCAAGAGTCCTCATACTGGTTCAATGCATCGCAGGTAATCGTATTCCTTCACTCCGAAATCAATGACAACTACGCCGAAGGATGTGGAAAATTTTCCACAAGCGTAGGACGGCAATCCAATTAAAAGAATTGTAACCTCAGTCCTCTCGTTTTTCCGTCCAATAAGCGATGCTTTGTAAAATAAGCTAAACAGGGCTTGTGAGCGAATTAGACAATTGAAAAGATTCATATTTGCCAGACATTCTGCCAGAATCGGTAAAAAACCATCATATGTAAGGATATTGCACAAAAATAGCTCTTAATATTATTGTAGTTTCCTGTGCAAATAATTTACGATCAAAATAAAAATGTTTCCTTAAAGTTTTTTATCTTTAAAATTGGGTTTTGCAATTTGCAGTAAAGATAACTTGGAAATATAGACAAATGTCCTTACGACGTACAAAATACTCCACTGGAACTTAATTAACTGATTAAAATGTACTTACCAAAATAAGAAGCCTGAGGGTATTCATGGTTAAAGAGCTTTATGGCTGGTGTATATAGAAAAAGGATCTGCTTTCCAATTTCAACAATGGCCACCTCTGCTGTTATCCAATGATTGAAACAATTTCAGTGTGTTCTTTTATAGCGATTTAGGATCACGTGTCATGATTCATCAATATAGCGTTTTTCTATTATTTACCGTACAACAGGGCTGCGGTTTACGTTAATCGTGAAGTTCTTCAGGGTCTGGAAAATGCCAATCATATCTACAAAACAAATAATTACCGGCGAACATGTTGGCTTTAGAACTTGAATTCAAGTAGGGTGTAGAATGTTTTCCCTTCTTTGCAACTGTTTTGGGAAAAACACCATGGAAACTGATTTCATCAGGAACTTCGCAAGGGTATGACAGTCCACGAAGGAAACCGTTAAGGCTAATCATTAAGCGAAAAAGATAAACTTCTAAAGCCTAATTTAAGAAACATTAACCACGACAATTACATTTACTTTTTGGAGGATTCGTTGACGTTTTAATGTTGCATAATTTCTTTGACGCGTAACTTCTCGATCTGTCTCTTTAGCCAATATAACGCATGTCCAAGCTGGTGTAACAGAGCGGAATGTGCCTTTGAATATCGAGATTCTGCGGAAGTAAGTTAATCAAAACAGTGTAAATCAAACTTTTGTCGAGAGCCATTCGCAAAGTGAAATTTTAGAGCGATCTTATTAAATTTTAAAGTTTTAAGGAGATAAATGTGATGCTCAAAGAAATATTTTCTTTTTGCCTTTTTTACCTGTTGTCTGGAATATTTTTTTATGCCGCTGTAGAGTAAAAATCGTTTCATTTGTATTGATCACAGATATTATTCGAGTTAATGTCGTTGTGCCGTTAAAAACTTTTGTTATTGAGAAGAAAACATAGCTATGAGCGTGCCCTTGATCCCAAGATGATCAACGTTACTTGTAAGGATCCTTGAATTTTTGCACTAGTTTATTTCTTGTGATAGAGAAAATTTTGAATATTATACAATAATGATTTTCCTATGAGTTTGCGAAGTCTGTGCACTGATGCAGTAGTAGTGAATTTCTTGATAAACCCACAGGGTAAATATAAGACGCTGATTTCATTGAGGCACTTACGTAGGCGGTTTCTTCCGCCTAAGATCCTTGAACACTAAACTTTGAACGTGACGTTTTCATAACAAAATAACTCCTTGCACTTCTCAAAGTTAAGACCTTGAAACGGTAAAAATTGAATCATGTTACAAGAGAGAGAAAGGAAAGAATGGTTTTCTCTGTTTTGTTTTGCCACGAGAATATCAACTCCCAAGTCAAAGCCGGTCAAAACATCGTCTGTTCGTCAACTGCCATTCCAATATCTCCATTTAGGTTGGCCTGAAAGCTAACGAGGCATGCGTGATAAGTAGGTTTTTAGGGATTTTACACAACTCACGTAATTTCGCGCGGGTGAGATAAGCGCTGTCAACAAAAATTTGACTTAAAGGTGTATTATTGCACTTCTTGATAAGTTTTAGCAAAAACTAATTGGCAATGTGATTCGGTCAAAATATTTACAACATTATTTTAGTCCCAGTTATTTGCTTAGTAATGTGTGGTTGCATCAAAACATCTGATGAATATCATACTTAATTCTTAGATGGGAAATTTGTTCGTCAAATAGTTTAAAAGGTGAATACTTTTTTCTATAAGAAATTTAGCGCAGTTTTGCTCTTCATTGAACATCACACCTTTCATGATAGCCACAGTCGTAAGTATGTTACTTCATTTCTAGCTGATCGATTTAGTTTGAAAGGAGATGAACGGTATCTTTGTCAGTTAGCAAGTTTTCTTTTATTGTTTTCAAGATAACAGTTACCGATCGGGAGCAGTGTCAATTTGCGTGGTCTGTGGCCAGGCATTCCCGGACTGCGCTGAAGTTTGAAGCATTATTTTCGACCACGGAGATGTTTCGCATTTTTCCATGACGGGGCAATATTTCACAATTCGAGCGCATTTCCAAGAAAACTGTCTTCCGGTATGCTTTTTAGGCTAAAATTACAGTTTGCAAGGCCTTTTCCTAACTAACGCAGACGCCTTAATTACCTGCATTCCTCCCTCCCTTTAAACCGCCTCCCGTCTAAAAACCCTTAAGTTCCTCATGCCATTGCTCATTATGTTATTTGGGAGCAACTGTGTTTCAGTGCAAAATATTCATGCAGATGAAGGCTTGTCCGGCGGCATTAATACTCTGTATTGAATGTCTCAGGCTCTCGGATAGGAAATGCTTACTGTGCACTGTATAGTGAAAACTTTAGCCCTCAATTAGTTGTTGATAAGGGTCGGGTTGCACGAGAGCTAATTTTGTTTGTTTCAGATGTAAATCTGTCAACAAGTCGTATAAAATAAGTTCGACCGTCAGCTTTAACCCGTAAGAAACCGTCGAGGTAACATTGCGCAAATCTTTAAAAATTTTTTTAATTCTAAGAAGAGGATTTTGTCCGGTCAACTGTCCATCTCAGTCAGTCCGGGATATCAGAGTTAATAATTATCTACTTGACGTCACAACATGGCGACCATTTCGGGTATCGAAGAGTTTTATACCCAACTCGAAATGTTTGCTGTTTATTCGTTATTACACGCCGTATGTACAAATAATTCCATTGGAAATTAGTGAATAGGTACTGGTTTTCGCATGTACTCAAGATGGTGGTCATCACGGAGTGCTAGAGGCGAAATTTTGGGCACGGAAGTAACAGGACAGTTGAAATGACACATTTGATTGAGTTATGTTTTTCACCTTTGCCTTAAAGTTTAAGTCAGTGAATGAATTTTTCCGGGGTCAAAAAATCATAGAGCTGTTCTTAAATCTATCTTTTCTTTTCGATGCAACTGCTATTTATCGTGATGCGAACCGCAGGTAAAAAGTGCATAGGGTAGTCTTGATTTACCGCTTAATCAGTCGCCAACCGCCATTTTGTATTTTTGACGATGCTTTCAGTCTCTCTGTTTAGCATGCGAACATTGTTGTCGAATTTCCGATTTCTTATCACCGCACCATACTTAGTTTGTAGTATTTAAAAAAATGATGTTTCGTTTCATTGTGCTGTTATTGCCCGAAGAAAACATTATTAAACAAACTAAATCAGTTATTTGTCAAACGAGAGCCCGCTGTCATCGAATGTTGTGCTCCGTTTGAGGGTTGAACTTGGTTTTGCTTCTGGTCGCTTCATGTTAAGGAGAAGCTCCGGCTGGATGAGCAACTTGGCTCATGCACGGATTTTACTTTATCTTTATCTTTATCTTTATCTTTCCACAAGTCAGGAAATGGTCAGAAAAAAAGATTCCGGGTCAGGGAAAAGTCAGGAAATTTCACGCTTAGTCAAGGAAAATTTGTTTTTAAGAGAAATAAGCAAAAATTGGATTTTTTTACCAATTCAAGTACTTTAGTAGGTTTTTATGGACATGAAATATAAATAAACTAAAGTGGGTTTCAATAAACAATAACATAGTTTGGTTCTAGTGGTACATACTGTAGTATATCCACTTAATGGTTCTTCCTTTATCAATCAAATTCCAGATTGAATTGTAATTTAGAAAAAGGAAACAACAAATGTGCTGGATTGTTGAAATATTGTTTCATGAAAATTAACGAGATGCAGGTGTTAGGTTTCCACCAAAGAAATAATTTTTCTATATTGTCAGGGGAATTTTACATTTGTCAGAGAAATTCATAAACTTACATGCATGGCTGTAGCAACCATGTTGTATATACATGCATTTCTGTCTCAAAGTTAACTGAAAATTTCATATGTAATATAAAGTTTAATACTATAATATCACAAATATTCTATTGTTTTGAATGGTGTGGATTTTCTATATTGTTTTATTTTGATAAAGCCTAAATATTTCTTAACAGATATTTCACAAGAAGCCCCACATAACGCCTTTCCCTCAGTGGCATAGTTCAGGACAAATACCTTTTCACAAACGTAAAATAGACAAGATTTGCTACGGGGACTGACGCTTCTTTATCCACTTGGTGTGTTTGTTATAAAAAAAAATGCCATGGAAATTGATCCGGAACTACGTTACGGACACTCGATATTGACGATTCTTCTTCGTTGCAATATTTCAGGATGTTACACAACTCTTTTCTACGCAAAGGGGGAAGGGGTTAAGATACGTTGCGTGACTTCTTGTAGATTTACGTGACATCCTGTAGAAAGGCTGCTGCGGAGACTAAGGGCTGATTGGCTAAACAGTCTGTGAAACCATTACACTGCTGGAGGATGGTGTGGGCGATACGACCGGCATCAAAGATACAACTTGTGAACTTGAAGGGGTTACGGACATCACAGGACTGGAGGAAGGCGACGGGGTGGGACTCATAGGTGGAGCAGGAGTGGGTGGCTTGAAAATCTCTCCTGTTATAGATATGACAAATGGTACAACTCTGTTAACAGTGCGTCCTTGTTTTGAACA